GTGGCTCCCAAACCTTTCCTAGTCGCGGCGCCCTTTTTCAATTAAAATTTTTTCTTGGCGCCCTACCCTACTTATTGTAAGTTAGAGAAAAAAAATAAAACTCGTGTATCTTCATTATTTTTTTACTTTATTAACATTTAATCAATATTTAATAATTAATGTGATGGATGAGTTTTCAAATCACTACACATTTTCTCAAAATGAAGCTTTTACAATATTTCGCGGCGCCCCTGTAAAGAGTCCGTGGCTCCCAGGTGCGCCGCGGCGCACAGTTTGGGAATTACTGCCTTAAACGATATAGGGTGAATTACTGGTAGTCTTGAAACTTTACTTAAATATACTTTTATCATGTCTGGACTAAAGGCATTTCCTACGCTCTGCTTTAAGCGTTTAATAGTACCTTTGCTCTAGCCTCATCCTGCAGGCCCCCAAAGCCTAAATTCTCATGCTGGGGAAAAGGCTAATTTAACAATATACTTTTCCTTATCCTAGTTAAGCCTGAGTATTGGGAAACTATTTTGGTTAAGCCTTCACGAACTATTTATATAATCACACCCATATACTGTGGAAGCCAACTGTCTCTGGTCTACACTCCATTTGCATTGGAGTTTTGTCTAATCGGCCCCACGCTTTTATTGATAAACTGAGTCTACGAGCTTATATATTCTCTAGTTTCTTGTGTGCAATCCCTAAATATTTTAGCTATTATCTTGGTTTGATTTGGCTCACTCCGGATGTCTTGATCTACTCGTCTTTCGAGGGCCTCAGCAATTTTTACTTATATTTGGTAAATTTCGAAACTACTATTAGATCTTGAATATTGTCTCTAGGTAATGAAGGACTAGGTGTTAAAATTTCCCACATTAATTCGGACAAGCCTCGTGTCCATTGAACTTCACATAGCCTTCCTTCCAAAAAAGAATCCTAATCAAGAATGTATTGTAGTTTCGATGTTGCTTAAGTCTCATCAGCTCCTCTATCGAGATTACGACCTGGATAGTTCATCATGTGATCTTGACATGTCACCATTTTGTTACATTACCACGATTCCTCCCGGGTCACAGGAGAGTCCCGGCCTCTCCTATATCATATATATGATGAGATTGTTCTTGAGGCAAACTTTTATTCTGTAATTACAATCGTCTTCTTAATGGAAACGTTTTGCGACTAAAAGTGACTTGAGCTCTTATTCAATATTTTCTAACCTCAAAGACCTAGTTTGTAATTCGATTAGTAAGGAAGTCGAATGTAATGACAGAATAAAAGCTTTTCTTATCATTTCGGCTATAAATATAATATGGGGAAGACTTGACCTTCCTGGAAATTCTCGTCTCTCTGACTCAGGGCTATCCTTGGCATTGTTGCGTGGTAATAATTTTTAAAAATCATACGCTGCATTTTCAAGCTTTTGTTTAGCCGGCAATGGAAATGTAAGATCTATTTATATAATTGTGGAAAAATTAACTTATCGTTCCTTCATTACATGTAACCGAAGGTGACTGCAGGTCTTATTACCTCAAGTGAATCACAATCTAGGCTTTCAGTGACATGCTCGAAATCCTGCATTATAAATTAATTTTTCAACCTTGGTCAAGTCCCTTTTTAAGGCACTTCTTTTTTCATCTGCTTTTCTACAATTTCCTTCTAAAGGCTGTTGCGGATGTTGAGGCGGGCGCGGGCCAATCCACTACCTCAGATTCTGAATGGTCAATTAACGAGGACGTTGAAATTGGCTGGTGGAATCGGCAAAGACGGCGTCGAACCCGTCGGCAAACGGCTGCTGCTGCAGCGACTGCTTCTGGTGCTATTTATATTGATGGGATAGAAGGGGATAGAGAAGCGGGCATAGAGTCGCCTCATTATCTTAATCAGGAAATTATAACTGAGGGGA